GAGATGTACAACGGCAACGGGTCACTTTACTCGATAGACGGTGAAACTACGACTAAACTGTAAACATGTATACAATAGGCTGCATTGAGTAAAACAACATAATCGTAAAAGGAATGTGTCCCTTTGACCTTGTACTATACTAACATAAGTAAAAATACATTAAACTGTTATCTTAAATAATATTACTGTACCCAGTGTGTTGATTAATGATATCAACAAAAACAATAAAAAAAGTATTTGGCGATCTACCGTCATTTGAAAATATTTTCGAGAATATGTAAATTGTTAGTTTTATACGATTCAACGACTATATTTAATTTCAATATTTCACAAATATTTTATGTTTAAATTTTTGGTCGTATCAAATCATGAGCTAATCATGTCACGGTACAATACCGTAGGGTGTCTCGGAAAGCCTTAACAACGGTCGAGCCAATCGAAATGAATAAAATCGTGTAATGGTGTCTCGATATGTTTGTATTTCATAGTTGTCGAAAAACAATTGGCAAGTATTGATAATTATTAAAAATTAAAAAAATTGTTTTTTATACACAGGTCGAAATTTTTCTTTAAAACTAATCTACAAAACGGCTATCTTAAAATCTTAAAAAGAATTTCAATAAAAAAATTAATTTTTAAAATATTTTTTGTAATTGCGAAAAATAACATAAAACATATTTTAAATATAGTTCTATATTTTAAAAATTGATTTAAAAAATAAAAAGTATAAAGTATAAAATGTAGATCCTAAGTAATATGAATTGTCAGTTAGATCCGTTGCATTCTGTATATATACATACTTAAGATGGTTATCTATTATAATTTATTTACTTCCGGTAAAACGCCATATTTTGTTTATAAAAGTGTACCTATGCGATAAAATAAGTAATTATTCAAAACGACGTGACTGTATTTAGAGACGGTTAGGAAGGAGAGTCAAAAAGTCTCGGAGGCCAATGTCATTTGATAGTGATGTGACAAAAAATTGCTTTATTTTGCTCGTAAATATTAATACTCCGCGCCAAAATCTTAAATACAGACCTGAACGTGAGTTTCAATAAAAGCCAAACAATTCGGTTCTGGCTACCTAACCTAAAACCGATGTTTTATACTGAAACGTTACATGGATGAAGTATATGCTAATGAACCGCGGATAAAACTAAATGGATGTCAAATTTTTTAGTAGATAGGCAGGTAGAATATCAAAAGAAAAACCGAACTTATTCAGGATTGGCGGAAACGATACGGTCAATTTTGGTGGAAACGATAATCTCCCGAGTTTTTTTTTGACTTTAATCACAAACTACGACGACGACGACGACGACGATTGTTTTATCATTATTGTTTTATCATCTAGTCGCCGGGTGAACTTAAGTCATCGATTCGGTCGGTACGAGAGCTGTACTATTTACCCGGTACACGAGTACGCGTGCTTTTAAAACACTGTTTTTTTTCTCAATATATATTCGTTTAAAACCGCAAAGAAAGCATACTACCGTAAAAATACTCATTAATTTTTTGTGTTTAGTAAACGTTATTTAATACGCAATATATTTATTTATTCGTCTTATATTTTGTATATATATTTTATATATTTGTCAATCTATAAGAAAATTTGGTATATTTTATAGAAAATTTACATCGACCGATATAAAAATTTGTTTTTTATTGAAAACGATAAAAACGGATCGGCTACCCGTTAGCTTTTAAAAAAATTACACGTATACATGTTTTTCATAGAAAAAGAAACCGCNTATTTTTATATTTCTTATATTCGATTGTTTGGTAATGAAATACATCAATGTCCATATAATATTGTAAATGCTCACCAAATCCTTCGCTCATTCTTAATATTTTTTTCTTTAAATGTATGTAGATATAATAATAAGTATGACGTAANATATGTCGAAAAAATAATAAGTATGACGTAAAAGATACTCCTTCAGATATTTCGGAACAATATTCAACTCTCACGAATCTTATAGATGTTATGAATCGAAGAAGAGAAATCAACAAAAATGTATTGGTAATTGGGGACAAAGATGAAAGTGCATTCTCACTCAGAAGTATTTATATGTGCGACATAATTGAAAACAAAGAATTATTGAGAATTGTTATAATGGATTTCGGTGAACAAAGTAAAGATACGTTTGATGCTATTTATAATGACATACATGAAGCATACAAACAAGCAAAGAATTATTTTATGTTTGATTTATGGATAAAACGAATTGGAGTTTATCAACGAAAAGTCTTAAACGTTTTTAAAACCGTTTTAATGAATTTAATGAAAAAACACTTTATCTACAGTTCTTTAATGTTAGACAATGAACAAATAGATAAAGTAAAATATTTCATAGATAAAATAGCAAATTCACTTCAAAATTTGACTTTGTTATTTAATGGCGTAGAAGCTCATGATTTTGAAAAAATGTTCAAATCTCTTACAGATTTACCCTCAGATGATCAAAATCTTATATATTATCATGGTATTTTGATTTTAAATATCGAACGCATAATAGATACAATAAAACCCAACTTTTTTAAATTAATTTCAAATGATATAATTAGTGACTCAGACTATGAATCGAAAATCAATTTTGAAACTATAATGTATATTGTAAGAAATGAATTGGATGAAAATAAATCCATCAAAAATATTGAACATTTTTGTCTATATTCAGATTCTAAAGGAATGAATGATAATTTTGTAAGAATATTTTTATTTACAAATTTATTAAATAAATCATTCGAAAAAGTAAGCATAATAAGTATTTTATCATGTTTAAAATTTTGTGAATCTTTGGAAACANTTTAAAATTTTGTGAATCTTTCGAAACACATGGTTTTGATAATCATGGTCATGCAGATGGTGAAAATGAGGAAAGGTTATTGGAATTATGAAACATATTTTTTAAAACAAACTTCAATCAATTATTTACAATTATAAATTAAATTTACATACTTTGCAGTTAAAAAACGCCTTTTTTATTTATTTGGCATTAAACGAAATCATTGGAGCTTTATCCACTCATTTATACTAAAATGTTTTTTATAGGTGTTTTATAAATTCTGATTATTTGACATCCAAAACTTTTTTAATTTGAAATCTTTCAAATATAGAATGAATCAATCTTATACCACTACTGTTCAAACTTCTTAAAAATAAAATAAATTATTTTTCACTTCTTAATAATATTAACTTTACATTAGACACAATGTTATAAATGCATATGTGTGNACTTTACAGTTTTTATTCATTATAATCAGAAGATATTTAATTTGTATAACGCTTCTTTTCCTAGGCTAAATGTAATACTTCCAAATAAACAAAATTTTATTTTATAATAAATAGTATTGTAATGTAATATACTCGTCACTATCATAATATGTGATAACATTAGGCTGCTTGATTTGTATCCACAATAATGTTTGTTAATTTTATATTTTCATTTAAGATAATTAACACTTCTATTTATAAATTATATTGATATTATTAGAATAATAATTGTTTTTAAATAAATAGTTTGTTATAATTCAAAAAACAAAAATTAATAAAATAAAAATAGAAATAGTCTAGGGCCTTGTATATGATGAGAACCTGATGTTGTGGTTCTATCGGGGTCGTATGGTTCGAGGGTTTAGAACGAAAAAGACAAGTAGATATAAAAAATAATTACGTAGTACCTCTAATTGAGGTGTGATAAACTTTTGTCTGGATAGTTTCTAATGTCCTAACTAAGAGGCAACGAAACGGCTAAGTCAGTTCACGATAACCATAGCCTAACTTATACAGTAGAAATCATGCTAGGTTTTTTTAAAACATCTTTAAGGCAACGAAACGGCAGAGCCTTTTTTATTTATTTGGCATTAAACGAAATCATTGGAGCTTTATCCACTCATTTATACTAAAATGTTTTTTATATTGGAGTTTTATAAATATACTTTCTCATTCTGATTATTTGACATCCAAAACTTTTTTAATTTGAAATCTTTCAAATATAGAATGAATCAATCTTATACCACTACTGTTCAAACTTCTTAAAAATAAAATAAATTATTTTTCACTTCTTAATAATATTAACTTTACATTAGACACAATGTTATAAATGCATATGTGTGTATGTGTGAGTTTATTTATTTATTGTATCATTAAAGTGTAGTGTATATTAATATACAAGCGATAGAGTAGGTAATTGATTTGACGCTATATTGTTTAAACCCAACTAAACGCTAAATTGTACATTCCGAAACAACAATCATATTATGTCTATTGCCACCGGAATTTCTGATAATCTTTTTCTTTTTCTTTGCCTTAATCCCAACTACTTGGGGTCGGCCACCCTCATCCTAAACTTCCACTTGACACGATCTCCTCATATCGCATTCAATAACATCCCTCAATCTCTTTTTTGGTCTTCCTCTACCTCTTCTTTCTTTAACAATCATTTCTATAACTGTTCTTACAACTTCCGATTCTTCTCTCGTTAGAACATGACCAAACAATCTAAGTCTATTTTCTGTCATCTTATCCACGATTGACGCAACACCTATACTTTCTCTTATATACTCGTTCCTTATCCTATCTTCTCTATTCACTCCACTCATCCAACTAAGCATTCTCATCTCTGTTACACGTATTCTCTGCTCTACTTTCTTATCAACCGCCCAACACTATGAACCATACATTATAGCTAGCCTCACAATTTCATACTAAATTTAAAAACTATAAATAGTATTTATTCATATATTATATTTTAAAATCAAAGAACTACTAATCAGGATATAATTAAAGAAATAAGAGTTCATGTTGCTTTTAAAATATTTCACCAATTTCTCTAAAGGAAACACTATCTACAGATTTGCATCGAAGCGTTTCTTATGATAGTGATATTAATCACTGTCAGATATCATCTATACTTGTCCCATCTATGCCTCGTCCACACTGTGCCTCGACCCCACTGTGCTACCGTTTTTTTTTTTAAACTTATGATATAATTGTATTGGTATGGAAAATTAATTCTATTAAAACTATATGTAATTTATTTTTTCTTACCTAATATTATAATATGAAAAATTATATTTAAATGAAACTAAAAACATTCAACATTTTACTATTAAAATCGAGTAAACTCGTGGTGATTTCAGGCGGGATAGCTGATTTTTTCATAATTTAAAAATTTATGAAAATTTTAAATTAAATTAATACTGATGTATATGTATTTTATCATAACGTAATATTGTATTCTTATGTTATTTGGTATATTTAGTATAAATTAATTGTTCGATGAAAAAAAATAATAAAAAGTATTTGGCGATCTACCGTCATTTGAAATACTTTTGAGAATACGTAAATTGTTAGTTTTATACGATTTAACAACTATATTTATTTTCAATATTTTACACATATATTTTATATTTAAATTTTTGGTCGTATCAAATCATAAGCTAATCATGTCACCGTATAATACCGTAGAGTGTCTCTGAAAGCTTTAACAACGGCCGAGCCAATCGAAATGAATAAAATCGTGTCATGGTGTCTCGATATGTTTGTGTTTCATAGTTGTCGAAAAACAATCGGAGAGTATTAATAATTATTAAAAATTGTTTTTCTAGGTCAATCGATTTGAAAAAACCGAGTATTCAAGACTCGAAATAATACCGTCTTTTGTAGGTAAAAACAAACCCATAAATTAACATTATTATACTACCATGACAGACACACGCAAAGAAAATAATTATATAATAAAAAAAAAAGGAATTTATTTACAAAAATGGTATTTTTTTTATTAACTTTGATATGTCTGTTTTCATTGTGAAGACAAAATAAAGTCCCAAATATTTTTTTTAAATATTCAAGTATATTAAATAAGCTTTAATTTAAGATATATATAAATGCACTGGCGTATGCAAGGGGGCGGGATTGTGGAGGTTGAAACCACCCCCCCAATATTTATAAGCTAAACGATAACTTTGGACGATAAACAATAAAAAATATCATATCCATACCATAAATATTTCCACAATAAAGTAATCGAAAACAGGAATTTTTGTCATTGAATAATATGGGTACTGTCACATCTAAATTTCTTTAAATTTCTAACCCCTCCCCCCAAATTAAATTTTTGTATAAATGTGTCAGTATTTCCGGAACACTTTCAAAAATTAAGTTGAAAAAGTTCTACTTGTTTATACTTTAACTTTAAGTTTAATTAATTTGACAAATAACTAATTTTGACAAAATTTGACAAATAAAATGTGGTTAATTACCTGTCGGATGAAGGCGATTATTTCGTCAAAAGATCAACAATTTTTTGTTCATCAATAAGAATTTAATACTTTTAGCTTGATTAAAAAAAATAATAATATTATTACAATAATTAATTTGCCTTTACAATTAAGAAAACAATTAAAGTAAATTTATTTTGTACAATCAAAAAAGAACCACTAGGCTACAGTAGCCGAATATCAACGAAAGAAAGAAAAGTAAGGTAATGACAAACAATTTATCATACGCATAATAATTTTAAAAGTAATAGTTGCCGATAAAACGATAAACAGAAAAACACAAACACTTAAAATTAACTATTTACAATAACAGATGACAAACACACGATAAGGGAAGAGAAAATTTTACAATGAGAGACGCGAGAGAATATTACGATAACAAAATTATTTACATATACATTTTGTACACTAATGCATGAACACTACTTTCTATATGCGTTTTTAATTTTTTAATCCCCCCACCCGTATATAGAGAAATGGTCCGATTAAAAAAAAAAGTATGTCGAATCAAAAAAGTATTATTATTATTATTATTAAGAATATTAAAAAAATTGTATGGATCCATATACTTTTCAAAAAGTTATAGCATTTTAAAGTAAATAATGTAAAATATAAAATCGAAAATTTTAACACAAAAGTAGCATACGGTAGCCATTTTCGCCGTGAAGACAAAATAAAGTCCGAATTTTTTTTCCCCATAATAAAGTATATTACATAAGCTTTAATTTAAGGTAAAATATAAAAGTGTCAGTGCTTCCAAAACACTTTCAAAAGTCAAGTCTAAAAGTAAATTTTTTGTGAAAAAGTCGTCATTTCAAATCGCCTCCCTACGGGAGCAGGTAAAGAGTCAGAGTTATAAAAAAAATATACCAAACGATAATAGGTAATAGGACATTACGCATCTATAAAAAAAAAAAATTATATTGATTTGTTCGTTTTTGAATAAGTGTTTACTCGTGTACTTTACATAATATGGACCAACATTTGATACCATAGGAAAATTGTAAAAAAAAATTAAAATTTAACAATCATCAAAATGTTATATAATCGTAACTACTGAACTAAAATAAGAGTTTTTGGTATTTTAATTTTTCTTTAAAACTTATCTATAAAACGGTTATCTTAAAAAAAATTTCAATAAAAGAATTAATTTTTAAAATATTTTTTGTAATTGCGAAAAATAACATAAAACATATTTTAAATATAGTTCTATATTGCAAAAATTGATTAAAAAAAGAAAAAGTATAAAGTATAAAATGTAGATTCTAAGTAATATGAATTGTCAGTTAGATTGGTTCCACTTTGTATATACACATACTTAAGATGGTTATCTATTATAATTTATTTACTTCCGGTAAAACGCCATATTTTGTTTATAAAAGTGTACTTATGCGATAAAATAAGTAATTATTCAAAACGACGTGACTGTATTTAGAGACGGTTAGGAAGGAGAGGCAAAAAGTCTCGGAGGCCAATGTCATTTGATAGTGATGGGACAAAAAATTGCTTTATTTTGCTCGTAAATATTAATACCCCGCGCCAAAATCTTAAATACAGACCTGAACGTAACTTTCAATAAAAGCCAAACAATTCGGTACTGGCTACCTAACCTAAAACCGATGTTTTATGCTGAAACGTTACATGATGAAGTATATGCTAAATCGATACTGGTTCGTCGCGGATAAAACTAAACGGATCTCAAATTTTTTAGTAGATAGACGGGTAGAAGATCAAAAGAAAAACCGAACTTATTCAGGTTTGGCGGAAACAATACGGTCAATTTTGATGGAAACGATCACCTCCCGAGTCTTTTATCATCTAGTCACCGAGCGAACTTTAGTCATCGATTCGGTCGGTACGAGAGCTGTACTATTTACCTGGTACACGAGTAGGCGTACTTTTAAAACAGTCCTGTTTTTTTTTCTCAATATATATTCGTTTAAAACCGCAAAGAAAGCATACTACCGTAAAAATACTCATTAATTTTTTGTGTTTAGTAAACGTTATTGAATATGTAATATGTTTATTTATTCGTCATATATTTTGTAGAATAACGTGCGTTTAATTAAAAATTTACGTCAAATCTATAAGAAAATTTGATATATTTCATAGAAAATTTACATCGACCGATATAAAAATTTGTTTTTTTATTGAAAACGATAAAAACGGATCGGATGCCCGTTAATCTTTTTAAAATATAACACGTATACATGTTTTCATAGAAAAAGTAACCGTTATTTTTATTGGCCGTGGCGGAGCTCGTCGTGTTTTATTTATTTTATTTTATTTGAACGATGTTGTTGCGTAATGACGATAATTTCGTGGTGATAAATTTATTTGTAAAACTCGAATAGACAATATCGTTACGATATTTTTATATTTTAAAATGTATACATACAATCGATATACAATATACAAAGTGTTCAATAAGTTTGGTTTGGAAACGACGGTTTTTTAGACCGCTATTGATTTTTTTAATAATTTTTTTTTTTTAGATGCTAATTGAATAATTAAATGCATTTTGACTGATTACCACTAAAGTTCAACCCTAATGCAAAAGAGTAGTAATCAAGGTATATTTCTACTTAAGAAGACAGGTAATTAAGTACTCGAGAAGTTTAAATGGCAACCGTTACTTTTTTTTTTAAATTTTCGGTTAGGTAATTTTATTTAAAACAAAATTACTTTTAAAATTTTAGAATTGGCCAAGTCGTTTTTGTTGTTTAAAAGCATCGATTTTGAGTTTGCGAGCACATTTTGCCACAGTAAAAACTAATCAATGTGCAATTCCGTAGACAAGATAATCATAAATTGCCTGATTATTGTTGCTTGGTTTATCTTAGCGATCGTATTTGACCGTGAAACGATCAATAGATATTGTCGAATCGATACTGTACCTCATCAACGGGGATTTATTGAATATCGATAAAAATATGATTTACGATTGCATTTCTTTCGCGTTTACGAATGAAATTAGATCGTTGTTGTGAAACGTGTGCGTTATTATCAAATTAAACATGTCAGTCGAAAATTGACTAAAATATTTTATTTGATAATTATTATAACCGTTCGTTTGCTGTTATCGGTCAAAATGATTTTAACGCGTGTTTATCGTTTAAAATTTAAATGTTTTATGATATATTCAAATTGACTTTTCAATTTTTCTAACTCTTTACAATTTTCGTAAAAATCACAATCGATTCGAGATCGATTATTACAACAGTCGTAATAATATCTCAAATCGATCGACAATAGTACAACAGTTACTATTGTGGTTTTGTGCGCGAGTTCCATTCTCGTGCTGTGCATTTGTTTACATTTGTTGCTGTGGCGGCGGCGGCGGCGCTCCGAAAAGCGGAATGCAAATAAACCGCCGAACAAACACAATTGGAACGTCTCGAAAACACGGCGATATATACGGACCCATTGGGCGCATCTGCCCAGTTTCGTCGGCGACGAGGGAAGAGAGCCAATATTCGAGACTAGCTATCAGCCGCTTCATCGGGTGAGTATTATTAGTTAAAGGGATCGCCGCTTCATCGGGTGAGTAGTGTTAGTTAAAGGGATCGCCGTTTCGTCCGGTGAGTATTATTAGTTAAAGGGATCGCCGTTTCGTCCGGTGAGTAGTGTTAGTTAAAGGGATCGCCGCTTCATCGGGTGAGTAGTGTTAGCTACTAGTGTTAGCTCGTTGGTATTTCCATTGATCGCCACCGTCGTAAAAACTCATTTCGCGAGACGTCCGAAAAGACGACACGCCGCGTTATTTGTCATAAATTACATTATTACCACAAACGAGATGAATACACGTTGTTATTTATGACGAGTAAAACGAATGGCGACGTTATTAACGCGCTCGTAGTATCAGTTTCACCAATTACGTTTGTATGTAAATATGTTTGTCACTTTCTACGCGCGCATGTGTTATTATTCTCGCGTATCCCGTCGTCTATGACCTTGAGACTAGACCTTTGTAACGCCATCACCCCACCCCGCTCGCCGACGTTACACAATATTTTTCTGTACAATTTTATCACATGTATACAAATTTTTATTGTGACAGGGCCCCGCCACTCGTGCCAACTTTATAGGCCGTCGCCTTACTATGAATATTTTTTTTCATCGATCAATACCTCCCGCGTCCATTCGCTTATATATTAATATTTATATATACGAATATTAGGGTGGTCCTTATTTTTTGACTTAGGAAATTCCTTGGTCTCACCCCCCAAATTTGTTTATACAGGGTGATTTTTTTATCATAACCCACTCAATTACTTGCAGAATAATAATAATTTAAACATTTTTTTTTTTCATTATCTTTAGTTACACATTATTCTTGAATTTTTAACTATGTAATACTTTTTAAGTTCATCCCTTATGCCTTGGAAGGGGGTCAACTTTGTTTTTTTAAATGGTAACACATATTTTTAATTTAATAAAATGTTTGAGTTTTTAATTTAATAGTAAATGGCATTTGAATTTTTAATATAACTTAATTCGTTTATTAGATATAATCATTTAAAGTTTCAAGTTTTTGAATTAATATATAGGTATAATACACAAGGGATTACAAATACAGGTAGCTAATTGGTTTTTTATAACATCGATATTAGCAGGTACACAGCATTGTTATTATCAATTGTAGTAAGGCACATTGTTATGAGTTTATAAATACACTAACTGACAATACAGAAAATATATCTATTGATAATCATAATTGATAATAAACAATCCGTGACTGAGACAGCAATGTCATAAAAATCCAATTAGCTACCTGTATTTACAATCCCATGTGTATTATACATGTATATTAACTCAAAATTTTGAAACTTTAAATGTTTATATCTAATAAGCTAATAAAGTTATATTAAAAATTCAAATGCCATTTACTATTAAATTAAAAACTCAAACATTTTATTAAATTAAAAATATGTGTTACCATTTAAAAAAACAAAGTTTACCCCCCTCCAAGGCATAAGGGATGAACTTAAAAAGTATTACATAGTTAAAAATTCAAGAATAATGTGTAACTAAAGATAATAAAAAAAAAAAATGTTTAAATTATTATTATTCTGCAAGTAATTGAGTGGGTTATGATAAAAAAATCACCCTGTATATATGTAAAAACGAACCAAAAAAAAATTTCACTTCAATCAGACAAATTTAACCCGTTCCTACTCGGGGTTGAAAATTGGACAATAGGGGTAGTTTTCTAGTGTTTTGTACTTAATTCGGAAATGAGCGATCATAGAAAAATAATTATGGAAAATAAATTGTTGACAATGTTATGGACTATAAGTTTAATTGTTACATATTTTTTTTAAACTCATTAGTTTTCGAGCAAAATTTTAAATTATACTATATTTTATCGATTTGCTGAAATTGGAATATTTACGAATACGACATTACAAAAATCGTTTATTATTTAATTATTAACAAATTCAGCACAAAACCGTTGTGTGGGCTACGACCCCCCCCCCAAATTAAAAATACACAGTTGAAAAAAATTGCTGATGTTAGAAATGTATAAATTATGCTAATTGTTTTTTTCAGTTTCAAAATTCTTTACATCATAATAAAGTTGATTTTTTGCTGTCGGGATCGCTATCAAAAAAAAACGCTTCGATGCAAATCTTTATATAGCGTTTAATTTAAAAAAATTGGTGTATTATTCCAAAAGCTATATTATCTGCTAGTTCCTTATTAATATCTTGATTAAGGTAAAGTAAATCGAATGAAAAAGAGATTATTAAAAAATATTATTTCTTATAAAAAAATTGTGTTGATCCATACGCTTTTCAATAAGTTATAGTATTATAAAGTTAAAAATGTAAAAAATAAAATCGAGAATTTTCACACGAAAATAGCATTTGGTAGCCATTTTCAGCGTGAAGAGGTAAATTTTTTTTTTCAAATTAAAGTATATTACATTAGCTTTAATTTAAGATATATATAAAAGTGTCAGACTTTCTGGAACATTTTAAAAAGTTAAGTTGAAAAAGTAATTTTTGGTGAAAAAGTTGTTATTTTAAATCCCTCCCTGTGGGCAGATTTACAAAAAAAATTTACCAAATGATAAGTAAAGACATCAAGCATCTATATAAAAAAAATTATATTGGTATGTTTATTTTTGAAATAGATACGGTAGTTTTTAGTAAAAAAAATTGAAAAAATTTCGAAAATTAGCGATTTTTAAATTTGTAATTTTTTTGGAGGTTTCCCCCATTTACGGGTAACGAGGGAAATTATTTCAATTTTTAAGGGTAATTTCTTCGACTAGATACGTTTTGTGATCTTTTGGCGTATCGTTGAAAGAAATCCATTCGAAGAGGGATGAGAAAAAGTGGTAACAGACACAAAAAAACATCTTAGTAAAACCAATACCTTCTCAGCTTCGCATCGAAGCTAAAAAAATATTGATTAATTCGATACATCAAACAGTTATAACTGCTTATAACAGTTATAAAAATATGTATCGCGACTGCAAAAAATCAACTTTATTATGATGTAAAAAATTTTGAAACTGAAAAAACAATTAGCATAATTTATACATTTCTAACATCAGCAATTTTTTTTCAACTGTGTATTTTTAATTTGGGGGGGAGTGCTTAGCCCACACAACGGTTTTGTACTGAATTTGTTAATAGTTAAATAATAAACGATGATTGTATAAAAGATGTATTCGTATCTCTAAATGTTTGTCAAATATAATGTAGTATTCGTAAATATTCCAATTTCAGCAAATCGATAAAATATAGTATAATTTAAAATTTTGCTCGAAAACTAATGAGTTTAAAAAAAATATGTAACAATTAAACTTATAGTCCATAACATTGTCAACAATTTATTTTCCATAATTATTTTTCTATGATCGCTCATTTCCGAATTAAGTACAAAACACTAGAAAACTACCCCTATTGTCCAATTTTCAACCCCGAGTAGGAACGGGTTAAATTTGTCTGATTGAAGTGAAATTTTTTTTTGGTTAGTTTTTACATGTATATAAACAAATTTGGGGGGTGAGACCAAGGAATTTCTAAAATAATTTTTTTATAATCTATAACTAAGGACCACTCTAAAGTAAATGTTAATATTAATTTGTATATTCCTACAGCCGACGCCGCTGCCGCCGTATACGCCTCATGTATAACATTCCCCCCCCGCCACGCCTGCCCAACAAACACGGCTATACCTCGTGCGTTGAACGTTTACGCACTTAAGTCGCTTTACACGTATGTATACGTGTAAAGCGTGTATGTATACATATATATATTTTAATTACTGTTAAAACTTATATATTAATACGCTTAAAAGCGTGTTTTTTAGTTTTCTTAGTTTTTTTAGTTTTTTATTTACGATAAACAACGNATATATTTTAATTACTATTAAAACTTATATATTAATACGCTTAAAAGCGTGTTTTTTAGTTTTCTTAGTTTTTTTAGTTTTTTATTTACGATAAACAACGCGAAACGCGTTGTGTTACGCGACTAATAACGTAAATTATTTACAAATGAAGACGTGTCATCGTGAACAAGACGTTCTAGGCGAAAACGATCGCTGAAAATGATCAATTTAATTTTATTTAAATTTTATAAAATTAATAAATCACGTCGGCGGCGGCAATTGCGTCGTTCTAACTCCGCCGTTATTATGTTTTTCAGATAAAAAATGTCAAGGCTGGCATCGACGATTCTACTGGCTTTTTTTGTCGCCTGTTATACTGCGAAAGGTACGTTGACGTGTGTATCGTTTTTTTTTTCCATTTGTGTACGCCCAGAGTATTCGATAAATGTCTCGAATCTACAATGAATTTACAAAAAATAATATGTATAGATATTATTTTCGGTATCGCTTATGATACACGTGAACCGTTTAAATCGGGCTTTAGTCGTATAATATACACGGTCGTATACGACGTACACTATTTATACATTACACAAGGTACACTATTTAAACGCTGCACGAGGTACACTATTTGTACACTACACGAGGTACACTATTTATACACTACACAAGGTGCACTATTTGTATGCTACACGAGGTACACTATTTGTACGCCACACGAGATGCACTATTTGTATGCTACACGAGGTACACTATTTGTACGCTACTCGAGGTACACTATTTATACACTACACAAGGTGCACTATTTGTATGCTACACGAGGTACACTATTTGTACATTACACAAGGTACACTATTTATACACTACACAAGGTACACTATTTATACGCCACACGAGGTACACTATTTGTACATTACACAAGGTACACTATTTATACACTACACAAGGTGCACTATTTGTACGCTACACGAGGTACACTATTTATACGCCACACGAGGTACACTATTTGTACATTACAAGGTACACTATTTATACACTACACGAGGTACACTATTTATACACTACACGAGGTACACTATTTATACATTACACAAGGTACACTATTTATACACTACACAAGGTATACTATTTGTACGCTACACGAGGTACACTATTTATACACTACACGAGGTACACAATTTATACGCTGGACGAGTTTCGCTGCACAAGAAGGTACACCATAAAAGGTACCATACCGTTTCATACGCGATAAATAGTAAAACGGAAACGGACCGTTGAAAATTATTTTATATATATATTTTTTAAATAATTTTCAACGCTACTCGTAATCGCACTACGTGGCGGCGACCTCTCTCGGGGTACCGCCCTCGGACCGTAGAGTTTGTTTTTTTTTTTAATTGACACGGCGTTGTCGTTGTCAACAGTAACGAGGTTTAGAAAATTTTTTTTATTAAACCGTTTATCATAAAAACCGTTCAATCGTACATTCGGACGTTTGTGGCTACTATCGGGGGGTAATATTAAAATGGGCAACTACGATACGATCGGTAATTATAATATTAAATTCGTAATAATAATATCGAATCGGTTATTATAATACCAAAGGTAATTCAATAGTATCGAGTTAATTGTAATTTATAATCTAATTATACTATTGTTAATCGGTAATCACAATATAATCGGTAATTTTGTGTTATTAATTTTCAAACGTTCGGAGAACTCGAACGAGCAATTGAAAAAAAGCAGCGTCCAGTAGTGGAAATTAGTCATTTCGACGATGAAAACATAAGAAACCCGTTACCTGACTTGCAGAACACCCTTTACGTATATATAATATATTATATATTACAAAACACCTTTTACATATATAATATATTATATATTACAAAACACCCTATATATGATACATTCAATGAAATCGAATGAAAATTTCTATTTATCCCACACCTCAACCCCTACCTCCTGGCGGCCGGTATACCGTATGTAATGTACAGATTACGTCGTTCGTTTACGCGTCTGGCGGACGGTACGATCGCGACCGGAATAAACGCCGCCGTTTTTCATATACCGCCCGTTCGCGTTCTACTACGTTCACTTCGAGTTACTACGTTAGATCCGTTTACATTTACCACCGTCTTATGAACTGTGTTTCGCAGGAGACGTCCAGTGTCCCGTTTGTACGAATGAAGTCCCGCAATGTTGCACGATACACAATTGCGGGCACAAATTTTGCATCGTGTGCACGACTAAAATTTTGAGTGTGAATTATCCTACGTGTCCGTTGTGCAGGAGTTCTATTAAAAGAGCGACGGGTACAGGTAAACACGGATAATAATTAATAATAAATACTAATAATAATAAATCGTAATGAAAGAGTGTTTTTCCGAAATGTTTCAGGTGCGTACGAACAGGAGCTCAGCGATTTCAAGAGAGCCGTCCTCAACAACCAGACTACCCCCCAGATGATAATCGCGCGCTTCTATCTGCTGCCGCCGTGGCAGGTGCCCGACTCGACGATGCTGCTCGAAGTCAAAGCGCGCTCGTACAACAAAGTGGTCCGGTGCTTGTTGATTCAGAGGATACGCAATAACTTGGACGGTTATTCCTTGGTGGAGGACGTGGCGGAACGCAGCAAGTTGTTTAGCGCAAGGCCCAACAAAGTGGAATCCGACATACTGTCGGCGTACTACGAGAGGTGCAATTGCTTGGTGCACGTGGAGATGATGAGAAGAAACAACGCGTACGGAACGCTCTTGCAGTGACTCTCGGCGGCGCTATTGTATTTTCAAAAAGATAATTTATCTCGATAAAATAATAAAAACGTATCTTTCCGTTGCGTACGTGCGTTTTATTTTTTCCACAACACGGTATTATTGATAATAATCAATAACAGTACGTCGCGATATACCGATTTACTAATGTTACGAGTCGACGTACCCCGCCGATATATCACGAAAATTACAAATAACGATTTATTATTAGAAATTATAATACGTTAAACCGACTAATACACGTAGGTAATACGTCAACACCGCGTTTAAACCGACTCTATGGTCGTGTAATCGATACGGCTTCCGCAATAATAACGCTAATGGATCCATGTGGGGTCAGTCACATGGATCGACTAGCACTAATTTATCGGTTCTTTATTCCGACACAAATATCCGCGGTCGAGAGCGGATACTGCGCATATTCAACATTTTACTATATAATAATAAAATTTCATATATATACAGAGTGATTTTTTTATCATAACCCACTCAATTACTTACAGAATAATAATAATTTAAACATTTTTTTTTATTAATATCATTAGTTACACATTATTCTTGAAATATTAACTATGTAATACTTTTTAAGTTCATCCCTTATGCCTGATAAGGGTGTCAACTTTGTTTTTTTAAATGGTAACACATATTTTTAATTTAATATAATGTTTGAATTTTTAATTCAATAGTAATTGGCATTGCTAACACAGTCACGGATTGTTTATTATCAATTATGACTATCAATAGATATACTTTTTACATTGTCAGTTAGTGTATTACATAGTTAATAATTCAAGAATAATGTGTAACTAAAGATAGTAATAAAAAAAAAATTTTAAATTATTATTATTCTGTAAGTAACTGAGTGGGTTATGATAAAAAAATCACCCTGTATATATATATTATATTACTTATATTATATACTTTATTATATAATTTAATGGGGGTGTACACGGTCCGTTATCGAGTTGGTTCTACTCCAATAGACGTCAACGTGTAACAAAACGATAATATTCTATCCGATTTTATATTGAAATTACATCCGGTGTGCCTCGGGGAGGCCACCTTTACCCACTCGTGTGTTTATATTATTTAGACTAAAGATAAGATAAAAAATGTGTTAAATATTCCAAATTATCGGTGAAATTACACTCGGACGAAATTTATAAACGAGCGTTACACTACAATTATTACGTTTTCATAGACGATTCGTTTTAACGACAATTTACTGAATTTGCTAATTCGATAATCGCCCGCTCGTATTAAACAGTACCGTAATGCGCTCGACAGTACGCGATCCGATCCGGAACAACATTTATTCGTAAATGGGGGGGGGGGAGAATGTGGTTATATACGACGGGTTTACACACACGGGTATAAACGTGAAAATATTCGAAACGGCTCGCTAAAATGTTTAGCGCCTACACCGAGGTGGTATTAACCGAGATTACCCTGATTAGATATATTAAATTTAATATATCTAATTCGCATTCTGGAAACGATGATTCTAGCATCGTAAAAAAAAAGCGGCCTTTATATCCACTGTATAAACCTAGATTATTCGACGACGTTATCGACAGAATAGCGATTTAAATAACAAAAAAAAAAAAAAAAAATTTACGATAACGCTATAATCGATGTGTCGCTAACGTCTACAACATAGTGACAATGCTATTATTGTAGAAATTGATCAAAGTAATTTTAGAAACGAGCTCTCCACACTCGTTTACAAATTAAAATAAATACGAGTAGTAGTTAATAGTAGTGCGTTCTGCACTACTACTACTGATACTATTTTTCAAACCGTAATAGTAGTAGTAGTAGTTCTACAGTCATAACGATCGCAGTCACTAAGGTTTGAAAACTCTACGGAATACCGTGTAAGGTTTTAAAACCGAAGAAACTACAATTCTCACAGTAATAGGAAATAATAGAGCAATTTCTAAAATAACGTACACGGCGGCGGAACGATCCCAATGAACAACGTTAACGTGAGGGTGGATAACGGGCGAGGGCGGGTCATCCGTATAAAACGTGATTACTAAAAAGCGCTCTGTGTTTTAATGTACGTTTAAATTTACGGATATAACGGATACGTTTTTATCCGCCAACAAACGTTTACGAATTAAAAAAACCCAGCACAGTGAGGTCGAGGCATAGTGGAGACGTTGCATAGTTGAATCCAGTGTAAATTTAATCTGAAAGTGATTAAAATCACTATCATAAGAAACGCTTCGATGCAAATCTGTTTTGTAATAGATAATTACAAAAGCAACATCAACTTCTATTTCCTTAATTATATCCAGATTAGTAATTCTTTTAATTATATATTATATAATTTTTTAAATTAATTGTTTTCAAATTATTATTGATTTTGATTTTTAATATGTTAATAGTAATCATTTACAACCTACTTTTTATTGTCTTTTAAAGTGAAACTTTTAATAAAAAAAAAAAAAATGTATTTATTACCATAACATTTAGCTCAACTTGCAAGTTTGAAATTGACATTATTAAATAGAATCTAAGAAAGTGTTAAGATTAATATGCAATTAGGGAATTTTATAATTACTATTTTCAGTACATTTATCAGAAAAGTTAGATTTTTTTACATTTTTATCTTAATAGATCACTTAAATAAAAATCATTTCTAATTAACTTTTGGCGTTTAAAAAGATTTTACAATGGAAATATTCAGAATTTAATTAATTTTAATGATTATATATCTATAAAAACCAATAAAAAAAAAGTTGCTAAAAAGATTTACTCAATTGAGTGTATTATAAAATTTGATTATAATTGTAAAAATCCATTGTTAAATTCAGGTGAAACTAAAAATCATTTTTTTTTTTTAATTTATGATTTATATAGCAACATGTTACATTAAAATTGGAATATTATAGACTGGTAGTAGCACACACAAATAGATTTAAATAATTAATAAATTACAAAGTAAAATTATTTACTTTTGTAGTTGAATAATTTTATCATATCAAATCTAATTCGACAATAAATACTTTAAGAATATTAGAAATTAATGATTTTAATTGTTTGTATGGAAAAAGCTGGTTAAACTACTTTTTATTTGAATAAGGAAATTTTTTTGATTTTTGAGAGTAATAACTTAAACTAAATACGAATTGTAATTATTTGACTTATCGTTGAAATAGTAGGTCTAGTGAGGGTTGGCAAAATAAATCGTAGCCACAGAAAGAACCACATAGTAAAATAATATTAACATGAATATAAATTTTTTCTCACAAGAGGAAACTATAGTGATAAAATCCTTTATATTTATTGAAGTTATTGAATCTAAATGAGATAAATATCAAATTATTTGAAAAATTTATTCTAACTTAAAAAAAAATGCAAAATATTAATTGCCGCAGACGGATTTGAACCCCGTACTGTAATTATAAAAGACATAAATGTTGCCGACTCGGCAACTGTTCGTTACTATCGAAATATGATAAAATTGGCTATTTATTATGGGCTATTATTGGCTATTTCAAATTTAAAAATTATTTTTTCGACTTTAAAAAAATAAAAAAAGCTTAATTTCTTATGTCTTTTGAACTTTATTCTTTGTCAATTGAATTATAAAATATTCATGAAAGTCAGTGTATTGCCCTTATAAGCAGAGGTGTCGTGGAGCGTATAGGCGGGTATACCCACTTTATTGTTTTTCTGTTATTGCGTATACTTATAAAATCATGAGTGATACGCGGGTATACGGCGTATACCCACTGTTAGTTTTCTTATTAGTGCATATACGTATTTATAAAATAGTTAAAGAGTATAGACTAAAGAATAAAATAAAAAGTAATATGTGGGTATCGAATATAGGTACGTTTGTCATAAAACACAAATTTTGAATAATTCTTATCAGTTTGTTTAATCTCTACAGTCATACCACATAAAAACATATATCTGAAGTTATAAACACACAAATATGGCTCGAGACTATTATCGTTTTGAAAATAGAATATAAATGTAAAACAAAACACTGTCAAAGTGTATAAATAAATATCAATAAAATAAATAGGATAATGTTTATCATTTCACGACAGTTTTATTGACATTTGACAAAATTTAAAACATCGACCAGAAATTAACGTAATAGCACATACTAAGTTGAAATTGAAAGTTATTGGGTTAACCTATAGCTGTTGAAATTGGTAATTTGTATTTTTCCGTAATAAACCGTTTGCCAACCAATCTAGTATTTAATATATTACTTATAATGATTTGAAAACAATGATTGTAAGATTATTTTATTACTGCATAAAGTTTATTGTTTTTTTATAAAAAATATAACAGTATCTAATAATACACTTATCGATTGTATGATTATGAAATTTAATTTATGTAAGAACTTAGAAGTGTCAGTAAAAATATTCGAGTAATAGTTTGGAAGTTGGAAGGAGCAACTGGGAGGGTTAGGAGTTTTAGTTGCATTATGTAATAATTAGAAAATACATATACAGTTAAAACATCACAATATTTGTATTCCGTCGCCCAAAACTATGTTATAGTTCAGGCCTTTGAAAAGTAGTGTGGGGGTGAAATTCCCCACGTTTCCTCATTTAGGTATTTAACTTATCTATTGATCAAATTACGACTATATCACTGTTGATAATGTGAAATATTGTATGTAGAAAATATAAAGTGCAATGGGGGGTGTGGGGGGCAGAGCCCCTCACGTTATTCTTTATTCATTATATAGGCGTATACCCATAAACATTTTTAGGACTACACCACTGNGAGCTCCCCACGTTATTCTCTATTCATTATATAGGCGTATACCCATAAACATTTTTAGGACTACACCACTGCTTATAAGATATTTTAAAATAAAATAAAATATAAAACCCAGGATTTTAACACAAAAATAACATATTTTTAAATACGGTAGCCATTTGCGCATAGAATATAGGTCGTCGGGACAAATTTATTTTTTTAAATTTTATAGTACATGATATAAGCTTTAATTTGACATATGTTTATACATATGTATTTCCGGAACATTTTCAAAAGTCAAGTTAAAAAAGTAAGTATTTGTAAAAAAGTTG